CCCCCCCCCCCCTTTCTCTATCTCTCTCGCTCTCTTTCTCTAGAAACAGGGTGGATACCGTGCTCGGTTCCCCTCCGAATTGCCACCCCTTCCTTCAAGCTACCGCGGAGGCCACGTAACCTCAGCCCTACCACCCCCAACCCCCGCCGTAGCCGCCGCCGCCCACGGCCTCCTCCCTGGCTTTCGCGCGGCGCTTCCAGCATCCCTCCGACTCTCCGTCTGTCCTTCCTCGCCGTGGTGGTGTGTTGTCGCGAGGACTCTCGCTCGCGGCACCAGGCCAGGTGCGCACGGCACCGAGTGCCCGCTCTCGCTCTCTCTCTCTCTCGTCTGAGAGTGCTGCCGCGGCCTATCTCCACCGGGTGGCAGGAAGCCGAGGAGGAAGCGAGTCGCCGTGTCGGTGAGTGTGAGTCATCGTCCCTCGTTCTCGCGACGAACGTGCACATGCACGTACACCGTATACACGGGGAAGGTAGTTGCGACGGATAAGGGTAGCGGTTAGAAAGATGGAGAGAGAGAGAGAAAGTGTGTGTGTGTGTATGTGTATGTGTGAGAGAGTAAGAGAAAACGAGAGGGAAAGAAAGAGAGATAAATAGAGATAGTTGAGAATAAGTAAACAATTAGATACACGGGGGTGGATGAGAGTAATTAGACGGGAATACCAACCGCTGACAGACGCGGAGAATATAAGAGAGAGAGAGAGAGAGACTCTTCTCATCGACGAGAGGGGCGGCGGTGGGTGGCGCGGGGCGTTGATCGTATACACACCGGCGCTCCTACGCTAGTGGTGCGACGGTGCTCCTTAGTGGTGGTGGTGGTGGTGGTGGTGGTAGCAGCAGTGGTGGTAGTGGTAGTAGTGGTGGTGGTGGTGGTGCTGCTGCTGCTGCTAGTGGCGGTGGTGGTGGTAGTGGTGCATCCCGCAGTGTGTTTACCCAGGGTGAGGTGCCTCGCGCGCGCGACTAGGCGGAGTCGCGCCTCTCCGTCCGCTTCCGCTTTCGCGTCTCCCCGTGACCGCTTCGCGACGGAAGAGCGGCGACGAGGAGCGACGTGTACCTAACCGTGACCCGCGCGTTCTGCGTAAAATACTCTCTGTCCACCTGTCCGCCACCTGTCCGCCCGAAGATCTGTCTGTTCGCCCGGCTGTCTACCTGTCTACCTACCCACATACCTCTACCTAGCTGTCCTATTTACCTGTCTGCCTACCTCGCCTACCCAACGTTGACGTGTCAGAAGAGGCGTTGCCGCGGCAGCCGAGCAGCCTCCACCCTCAAGGAGAAACTGGACATATCTGCTAAGCGACCGCCGCCTTCTCGACCTTCCGCGCGTCTCGCTCGCCGAGTTCGTCCTGGAAGGATCCTTGCCTAAGGACACGTCCCAGGTATCAGCAGCGCGAGTCGATAATGATCACGCGGCGACACGCGAAGGCGTTGGCTCATCCCGCGCCTCTCTGTCCGCGTCCTACAACGCAAGAAGCCCACGAGAAGCCCACCGTGACCTTTCGGTTGGCTGCCTCCGCGATCGGAGTTCGTTCGATTCGCTGACGAAGACGCTTCTGCAAATATCAGCACGACAGTGAATACGCAACATCATCACGGCTGATCTCTCTCTCTCTTTCTTTCTCTCTTTCTTTCTTTCGATCTTTCTCTCTCTACTTCGGTGTTTCGGCGCATCGCGCTTTCGAGAATCACGCGAAAGGATCCCCCCTGCTCGCCAGTATCCAAGGATGAAGTGAGTCGATAAAACTCACGAAGCGACGTGGAAGGCGTTGCCTCTTCTCTCTCTCTCTCTCTCTCTCTCTCTCACTCACTTGGTTTTCGATTCTCGTCGCGCGTCCTAGAGATGGTGTGCATGAGTTTTCCACGACCCTCTCGCGGTCCTGTGCGGAATTTCACCCGGTTTGGCGAACGTCTGGTTCCGGAGACGGCGGCGACTTCCTGCGCGAGGATACAGATACGTCAGAGAACACGCCTAGTTCCCGCCGCGCTCTCCTCGCACCTGCCACGTTCGACGTTGGTCAGGAAAAGGAAAAACTATCGTCCGAAAAAATTCTGTGTCGCGTCGCGAGACTGTGTCGCGGGGGATCCCGGGTGAGAGCGGAGAAGGAGGGAAGAGGTATTCGTCGTTATTTCAGTTAGCTATACTCGGTCGGGGGATGGGAATATTCTA